TCCGGATACATGGCGAATATCTAATGTAAACTGTGAAACGTAATCCAGTTGTCATGATTCCCTGGGTGAATAGTTATCTAAAGGTGAGTTCAGAGAGTACGTCAGACGTTTGTGATCAGTAAAAATTATGAATTCACGACCCTCTACTGAATGTCGAAAATAACGTGTTTGATGCATCAACCGAGATACTTAACGGTGCCGTTGGATCCTGATACATTAGAAGTGTGGCATTCGTAATAGCTTTTTTAACCTGGGTAAAAGCATTTCGAGCAGACGCGTCAAGTTCTGTGGACTTGTTATTCCCCCGAAGTAGGTCTGTCAATGGCTGAATCAGAGAGGCACAGTTGGGAATAAACCGTCGGTAATAACTTACTAAGCCGTTAAAAGTGCGGGAGCTTTTCATCGTCTGTGGCTCTGGAAAGTTCAGTATAGCCTCAGCCTTAGTAGCCAGTGGGCGAATGCCCTTGCAGTCAATAGTGTGACCTAGGAAGTCGAGTGAGTCAACACCGATTTGACACTTTTGAATATTAATATTAACACCATGTTGGTGTAACCTTTCAAATGCCAAGTCCAAATGTCAAAGGTGAGTTTCCCTGTCTGGACTGGGAGGGAGGCAGTCGTCTAAGTATGCGTATACAAAGTCGAGACCGCGAAATGCTTCATCGATGAAGCGTTGAAGTGTTTGGGCTGCATTCCGGAGACCGAATGGCATACGTAGGAATTTAGAAAGTCCGAAAGGAATAATGGTAGCCGTTTTCGGGATATCTCCTGTTGCCATCGGGATTTGGTTACACTCTTTAACCAAGTCGATTTCAGAGAATATAGCCGCGCCAGATAATGTTGCCATCAAGTCGTGTATATGAGGCAACGGGTAGCAATCAGGGGTTGTTTTGGCATTCACTCACCGGTATTCACCGGTGGGTCGCCAATCATTGCTATCCTTTTTCGGCACCATATGAAGTGGGGATGCCCATGGGCTATTCGAAGGTCGAATGATGCCAAGGGTAAGCATATGGTCAAACTCATTCCTAGAGATTCTCAGATTTTCAGAAGCCAATCGTCGTGTTTAAGATATCACGGGCTCTCCTGAGGTAATGATGTGGTGCATAACATTGCTGGTCATGCACGGTAGGTCGTTAGACGGGCAATTAAGTTCCGAATATTTTTAACAATAAGTTAAAAATTTTTATCAAGGATTGCTGTCAATGTAGTTGAAGACTGAACGATCAGTTCATGGTTGTTTACTCAAAACCAACTTCCCCAATTTTCGCCGAGGCATCATTACACCAGTCATCGTCTCATCGGTCGCTGTTCAGAAATAAGTCAGGAGACAACCGTCAGAAGTAATATTGTGATTTAAAATTTTCATATTTGTTCATAGACCTTAGTTGTAAAGCTTAGTTTTAAAGTTGGCTACATGTTGGTGTTACAATAAAGAATTCTCGAGTCGCCAATCAGTGTTTTGGTTTTTGCGTCCGTTATTACTAAGCGTTTCTGAGAAACTTCAAGGAACAGCGTGAGTCCCAGCGTAGCAAGAGCTGGGCATTGACGGTTTACGACACGTGGCTGACAATTGCCTTTATCTTAACGAGTGACAAGCTGGGGCCTATGTAGGTGATGCCTTTGATAGACAGACTTGTAATATTATCAATCAGTCATTTTCGGCTGATGTCTACGAGTAAATCATGACGATTGAGTGGGTCCGTCTTAATGATGGGCATTGTGACGTTAGCGATAAGGAAAATCCACCGAATTGGTTTGCGTAAACCTACGTTCAGATAGACGTATTTCCTACCAAAGGTTGCGATTGGTTTTCCGTTTGCAGCCTTTGAGTTGAAGGTAGGTTCCTTCTGTCGATCTGCTGCTGTAGCAGGAAGGACGCTGACTTCGGCGCTTGTGTTGACTAAGTGTCGAGTCTGGCTTACCACATCATAGATGAGAAGAAAGCGGCTAGTGCCACCGGCGACAGTTGCCGCTAACGCGTACCGGCGGGATAGTTTCCCACAGACTTTGAGACATTCCCGAAGTTACAAGGCCTACGGCAACACCTCGCTTCTTGGCCATAGGTGTTGTGATATCAGCACCAGTCAGGGTTTTTCAGTGAACGTGGCTTGGACTTAGATCGACCACGTGAGTTTCGGCGTTGAGGAGATTTAGGACGACGGTTGGAGGAGTTAGAATCCATGTCTGACCTGAACATCTGCTGGATGGAGCTGCACAACTCTATCACTCCAGTATCCCTACTCGAAATCTGCTTAGTCATCGAGCATATTTCGGAGACTGACCGCTCGGTTATTTCTAGGATCCTATCAGGAGAAATAGCTAAGTTATCCATTACAACACCCTGAAGTGTCACAAGTACGGCTGTACAGACTGTGGCAGCTTGGTTAAGAAGAGTTCTTTAAATAGTCCTTCGCCGAACTGACTTTGGCCAACAATTTCTTTCATTCTTGTCAGCATGCTCACGGCTGACTGATCTCCTAACTCGATGTTACAGAATAATTCATCCAGACGTTGTCGAACCGTGAGAACGTTTCTCCTGAGGAGGGATGCTTTGAGCAACTCATGCGAGTTACTTACCCCAGGACTGAACATCTGTGATGTTAGGTACTTGCTGAATTCCCGCGGTAGGGCGTGAATAACTCCAAGGAGGTGTTGGCGCTGATCGGTTATCCCACGCTCACAAAAATCTGATTCAGCCATCTGAAACCACGTTTCAGCATTATCTGGCCAGTATGGTACGAGCTGAATGGTTTTAGGAGTTGAGCGGATACGAATGACCTTGGGACTAGGATCACTGATGACGAGCAGTATGTCGAATAAAATATAGTACAAGAACAAATAAAAAAATGGAACGAACACAACGGGGTTATCTGCGTATTCATTCAAGACGAAGTTAGCAGTTGGGCTCACCAGTTTGAAGGTTGGCGGTATAGACGTTCGCGATTAGTACTGGCTATATTAACGCAAGATCTTATACCAACAACTTTTAATTTGCATGGAGGATTTGATCATGAGCTGACATCAGTTAGAGAACCACTGGAAAACCTGGGAGTACTGGACAGCTGTTTCGTCCTAGTTTGGGACTCCTCAGCAGTACGCACCCACGGGGATTCGAACCCAGGACCTTCTGGTTACAAGGCGAGCTCGTAGACCATTGAGCCACTGGGACCCGATCCAATGGTCCTTGAATTCTAACTTCTGCCAGTTCACGACATAGCGCGACCACTTCGCAATGTCTTCTTCGATGAGTTACTGCCTCATCTTCAACCTGCTATACCCTACTGGTCACGGCTTCCCACTAGAACCCCAGGTTAACTGCCTGAATAGGGCCAGTCACTAGTGAGCATCAGATGAATTTTTAAGTATTGGTTTGCAATCAAACAAAATCCCTACAACAAACCAATACTTAAAAATTCATCTGATGCTCACTAGTGACTGGCCCTATTCAGGCAGTTAACCTGGGGTTCTAGTGGGAAGCCGTGACCAGTAGGGTATAGCAGGTTGAAGATGAGGCAGTAACTCATCGAAGAAGACATTGCGAAGTGGTCGCGCTATGTCGTGAACTGGCAGAAGTTAGAATTCAAGGACCATTGGATCGGGTCCCAGTGGCTCAATGGTCTACGAGCTCGCCTTGTAACCAGAAGGTCCTGGGTTCGAATCCCGGTGGGTGCGTACTGCTGAGGAGTCCCAAACTAGGACGAAACAGCTGTCCAGTACTCCCAGGTTTTCCAGTGGTTCTCTAACTGATGTCAGCTCATGATCAAATCCTCCATGCAATCAAACAAAATCCCTACAACAAACCAATACTTAAAAACTTTTAATTTATTTATTTCACGCGTACCAAAGGCAAAGCAAAAAACTACAATCGGTTGTCCAAATTACGATATATATTTCGAAATTAAATCGCGGATTGAAGCGGAAGCTAAGCTAGCTAGTTAAGTTCTAAGGGCCAGCATCCAATGTTCACTGATGATACTTATGGTCAATAATTTTGTGGAGTTATTTACCGCTACAAGCATGTGTAAACCTCACTTCGACCTTCGGCATAGAGGGATAGAAATTTATTTGATTTGTTTATTTACCTAATCCATGTGGTTTTTCTTGTTACCACTATTATAATTACTATCCTCACACTGAACTATTTTCACTTGTCCCACCTATCATTTTAAATCCAAAATATTTTTACAGTAGTGAAGTCTATCTTTTCAAGTTCCATACCACGTTATGTAACGTTTTATATTGACCTACTAACCCTGTAATTATACATAATTATATATACAACAGGAATCATTAAATGATATAATCAGAAAGTGTCATGTTTGGGACACAATGCTAAGAAGCTCCAAATGCAAATAACAGCAGTTACTGAACGTCCGATTACCCGTACCAGGTATATAGCTAAGGTGGGTGGAGCGAGAAATTCACTGTGTCAGTCTAATTTACAATGGCAATTTAATATACGGAAAAAAGATTTACCCTGCCAAACTGTATCTTATGTGGTATTCATCAGGGAATTTTTGTTTCAGTGAACGCAAAAGTGGTTCCCATAAAACTGTGCTTCGGTGGCACAGTGGTGAGGATTCTCGCCGACCATGCACATGGTCAGGGTTTCGAGCCCACGCCGACGCACACCTGATATCTATGGTCGGCCTGCGAATTTTGGGCTACCGATATTCACGCTAAAAATTCTATACTTGTACCAAAAATACGGTGTGGAATGAAGCTGTAATCAAAAATAAAATAAATAAATAAATTATAAACTTGTCGTAGACTTCCGTATTTGAATTGCAAATTTCTCTCATGACATTAGACAATCATTGACAATGGCAAAAAGTTTTCAGTAATCAATTATATTTTTAAATAAAAAATTTTTAGAAGGAATATTACGCAGGTCTTGGTGTACAGCTTCTCAGTACCTGAGCATTGAACTTTGGTCTTCATATCACAAACAATAATATGTTATTTAGTACTGGAATTTAAGCGAGCCTGTTTCAAAAATGGTTGCGAGATATCGTTTTCACCCTAGTTACTACAATTTTATTCGAAAGCTAAGTCATTATACTCCACCTGGTTACTCAAAAGTTATACTTGCTCAAGAAGTCAAAGATTTCTGCGTTCGCTGCTTGACAAAAGTTGGGGCTCAAAAAAGTCACTCAGTTTCCCTCAGCGATGTTTTGGTTTCTGGAGATTATCGAGGTCATTATAGTCATGGATTGAACCGACTGGGTATGTTCGAGAATTAAATTTTTCTATGGCCTAATAGAAATGTATGTACGAGATATTCAGAAAGGTGTTTGCGAAACTAAGGCAGAGCCTAAAATTGTGAAAGAATCTGCGTCAACTGCACTTGTAGATGGGAAAAATGTCCTAGGGCCAGTCGTAGGCAACTTTGCAATGAATACGGCTATTCAGAAGGCTAAGAAAACAGGGGTCTCCTTTGTTGCCGCTTTTGGTACACTCCTACTCAGTTTAACTGATTTCTTTTAAGGGTCAAATCACTATGGTATAGCTGGCTGGTACAGCTTGATGGCGCTAGAACAGGGACTCATAGTAATGATACCTTCTTAAATCTCTTAATTTTGCAGGGTATCTCTATGACAAACACGTCTCCTCTTGTATATCCGACAAGGGCTCGAAAGGTAAGTTCCTTGAAGTTTACAAAACATTTTTTTTACAAATAATTGGTGTTTTCACATTTGTGCTGGTTTATGACGATTATATCTTATTTCGTTATGTTTGGTCACATATTCTGTGTCAGTCAGCGTACTTTATTTAATATGCCGCTCATTAATTGGTCACTGCCTCATATAACAGTAGTATTTATTAATTCTTTTGGTATTATATAAAGTCAGAGAGCCATTTCGATGGAAGTCTTACTGGTTTTGCAGCTTTCACTTAAATTCTCGCCAGTAATAATTTAAGGAACTGTAAAAACACCAGCCGACCAGTTAATAGACCATATCTGAGTTTTTTTCAACTTGCTGGCTTGTGTCTGAATTACTTCTTTTTGGATAAACACTCGTATTTTTTCATACAACTTCACAATTAAATCCGGCACACAGCTTCCGGAGGACTTCTTAATTTGGAAACATAGATTGAAAACATGAACGTAAACACATTAATGCTATGTCATATATTGACAGTGTTTTTATACTGAATACTTCTCAACTGCATTTTGTGATATTTTATTTTCTCAGTATTAGGGATCGAATTGATAATTTGCTGAATCGCTTTTGACACCCAAAGCCTTACAAACACCTATTTAGGCAAGAATTCTGGAAGGTTTTATAGCTAGTGGCCGTTAATTTTTGCTTGTTAAACTTAACCATGAAGATATGTATTTAGAACAAGCAGCCTTTTCAGTAATTGTACTATAAAATAAAGTTCGTCTTTTATGAAGTAATAAAAAACTGTTAATATCTTCTGGACAAGATTTATGACTGAGATGTAACGTTTTTCTAAATAATTACACAGTATACCCATTTTTTTTCCACAAAATAAATTTCAATAAAAGAAGGCATGTAATTTCTTTAAAACTTATATTATTGTCACAAATCTATAACCTCAAATGAAAACTCTTAGCTGCCACCTGTAAGCTCAGGACCCTTTAACTTAGTTAATTTGCAAAATTCAGCGGAGAAACTGTCCTCAGTAGATTTTTTATCACATTCTGCATTCGTATATATATATCACATTGTTGTAAGAAGTACTCACACCTTGTATTTAAATTTCATGACGAGGTATAGTTCCGTAGAAAGCATATATTATGCAGCTTGATGATAAATTGGTTGAAAACATTCACTTCATTGAATAGTGTTTTCATCATATTACAGTTGCAATTACCAAATTATTGATTGAGATAACCGATATATATACCGTCTTTGTTTTTCGTTCTCTTCGTTGTGTTAAAAGATCTGAAAACTTGATGGGTAGAAAACAGGTTTATAAACATACTTTTGTTTACCTCAAATCTTGTGATTTCTTCCAACTACTTGATGCAACAAAAGTACTAAGAAATCACTATATATGGAGGTGTATCACGAAGATAACTGTAAAACTTAATAACTGCTAACCAGCTGGATTTCTTGTATGTGTGTGTGGCATATCCCTCAAGCTAAATTTAAAATTATTAATATTTCACTTGAATGGATGGCAGCATTAAAAGTTTAATTGTATGACAAATGTTTGTGTATGATATATTACTGTTATATATATGTAAAAAATTAAAAGTGCAAATAAATCGACTAATAAAAGGTCAAATCACAAATGAGAAAAAAAAGTGTAATAAGCTATCATGCTCCGCAAAGATAGTAGTTATGTGAGATGTTTTTCAAGGGTATTGACTCGGCAATTGCTCATTTTATACAGCCTAAAATATCTTAGCATTTTCGATGTGCTACTCTATGAGGTATTATCACTAGTTTGTATCTTAACTAAATAGACAACAAAAACCACGATATAGTTTGCGATTTGGAAAGCGAACATTTTCGGCATCCTCATGTTAGCTGAAATACCACTGCTAGCCAGTTTTGTGACATCTACCTAAAATCTACAGGTAACATTAGCCACCTGCAAAGTATCTACAGTTCCAATATCTCTTAGTCGAAAAGCTGCATTGGAGAAACCGTTATATGCAATGGAATATGTTTATTTTGGTTACACATGTTGGATTGAAGATAATATTTAAATTTAGTTTATCTTATATAAATGCTGACTTAACGTTGTTAGTGGAGTTTTTACTTGCTAACTTCGGTTTTTCTCCTAGAAACTGTGTCATAACTCTTTCAGTAGAAAATGACTTCTTTTTGGTTGCGTAATTGATTCCCGTCAAACTTTTAGCTGAATAGAATGCAATTAAATAAAAATCGCATTTAATTACATAAAACAGGTATCTGTATATTGATGTTAACTGCGTTATTTTGCAAATATTTGAAGTAAATCACTGTCCTATCTTCACAAAAAGTCATATTTCACATATCCGTATTATTCTGCAGCTATTATTGTCGAATCTCGTATTTTCATGAGGTAAAAGTTTTCGAAATACACTGCATAAGGATGTGAAAAGACACAGAAAGTTAATAGTTTACCTGCGTTTGAACACAGAAGTGCTGTCATTATGCTGTATTGATTACGCATTGATGTTCAAACGAAGATTCTAGTTTTATTTTTTAAAGATATTTCTATGTGAGCAACGATGGCTTTGGTTATCCGTTGTAAGGCACTCAAATGTGACTTCATGTTTTAAGATATTGGTTCCTGTAGACAGCTTCACAAGTTGTTTTAGCAAACCTATTTCGAATTGCAGTTACAGCACACTTTTTTGTCAATAGGTTAACATTGTTGGTATTAGATTATTATTATTATTGTTTCCTTTAGTTCCTAGAGGAACATAGGGCTTCAACCGCACGTCTCCATTGCGTTTGGTTCTCCGCCAACGTTTTCATCTGATTCCACGTCTGCCCACATGCTTTCATCTCCTCTTCACATAACCTCCTCCATGTCACCCTCTCACTGACGACCAACTTATCGCTCCCTATTCGTTGGTATTAGATGGTTGGAGGTAATCGGCTACAGGAAATCTGGGACCTAGGTTTCGTGCTAGTTGGCAACCTCGACGAAACTCATGTCCCTTCTAAGATTCGAATCCGCGTCACCCAGTGTTGAAGTCAGGAACGTTACAACTGAGTTATTTGAGCTCACGATTGACCTCCTGTAGGACTGTAGTGTGTATTTTGACGAGTGCCAACTAGCTGGAAATCTATGTCAAGCAAGGCTTCCTGTGGCCGATTGCCTCCAACTATCTAATATCATTAAATCAATGTACACCATGATAGCGAGCCAACTAGAATGGTGGCCACATTGCAAACCTGACTGATCGAATTCAATCTGCACCAAAGAAAGGACTAGACACGTCACACTAGTTACTAGTGTTCAATCAAAAGTGGAGATGTGCTCTTGAGTCCCTGTGTTCCACTGGGAACCCGAAGGAACAGAAGAGGGAAGGTTGGGGAAGAAGCTAGTAATCTCGCTCTGTAAAAACAACTCTATCACAAAACAACTCTAAACTTTACAAACTTCATTTACACACACACGCAAATAATTATATATAAATGCGATTGTACAGCTATGTGAATGAATTCGCCGAAAAGAGTCTCTTTGCTGAACGTCTTCGCTTCTTTTTATAACTGTATCACTGCTGAAAATTGAAGGCTTGAAGCTCTTTGTTGTACTTGGAAATAAATGAATTTTTAAAAAATGACTACATTAAAATAAATTCAAAGCTTTGTCTTCTGATAAGTCCTGTAGTATTTCGTTCACTTTTGATAGTCAGCATTCATATGGTGTTCACCTAATTTCTGGTGATAGTTATGTATTGAGTTATCTTCAAACTGATTCAAAATGATTAGAACATATATTACGCATACATGCCTAGCCATCACCTTCTTCGACCAACAATGTTAGCTGACATAGGGTCAGGTCTGAAAAGAGCTAGGAGTGGTCAGAGCAAAACATGACCTCGTAAGTCAATGAAATCCACAACGATTAGTTTAAGCCAATTAGTAAATTGTAGACTTCCTGGCTGGTTGGGGTCCTCAGGATGGTAAATATCAATGAAGGATGGAGACAATTGATGATATGACTCAAAATCCTCGTTCTTAGTGGCGCAGATACATCCACTCCTTATGACTTATAATATCCAATCAAACTATATTGTTCTTCGTTATTACTATTCTTTTGCCTCAAATCTTTGTTTACTGTCTATATTTTGTGTTTCTTTTTTTTTTGCTTTCTTCTCGTACCTTGTGTGTTGATTGAAGTGTGGCGACTCAAACTGCTGCACACCTGTGCATAGTTCTATGTGAAAACCAGTCAGTCATTACTGCATAGCTGTAGTAAATAAAATAGTGGAAATAAATCTATTGGTTAAATTTCCTTTTTATTCCTTCACTTTCCCACTGGAACATTGGGCTTCAAGCTAGACATTTTACAGTTTCGGTAGCAGTGGTTTTGTTTTCTTTTTGCGACGTTAGGTCGCTAGTCTCACGCTCAACATTCCCTCTTTACTACCGCCTTAGCGTGGTTTAAGAGTGTCAGGCGGGGATAAAACCCCCGGACCGCACGTATGGTTGGCAACTGTCCTGCCGCTGAAAGACGGATGCATTCTTAGTTGAATATCTTTCATTAATTTGTATTTTTTTTATCAATTTTTATCTTCAAGGAGCTATCTCTTTTTTGTTTACATATAGTATGGTTTTGTGCAACTCGTGATATAGTCTAGACATAGTTTAGCATGAACAGTAAGAAAATTTGCCGTGCACTTTATCACTATTATTTATGAAAAGCAAACTAACATTCTTTATATGGTAAAGAATGTTGTATAGATATGAGGCATATATGAGTACCTATAAGGTATATATGTAACATTATATTTATGTATATATACATACACCACTTGAGTCTATTACAATGTTAAAGTACTGATCAGTCGATAGGTTTACAGGCATTATGTATTGATCAATTTGTTTTCAAGATAATCAGACAACTTGTAAACTTTGTTTCTACAATGTGTTTGTTTTTGTGTCGTCTCGACTTGCGTCATAAGAATGTAGAATTTAAAAATACAAATTGTGTGGTTACA